TCTCTCACAATACAACACATAGCTTTGTATATGTGTTTGTGTGGTGTGTTTTTTTTAAGTCTAGGAAAACTGGATGATTTTCCCAAGGAAATATAGATTCAATGAAAAAGTAGGGAACATGAACAGACTATAAAAAAGAAATTTTAAGTGTAGTAAAAATTTGCATATCATTTTACAGGAGAGTTTATCAAATCTTCAATGAACAGATGATTCTCATGTTATATAAACTATACCACTAGATAGAAAAAAAATAGAAAGCTACTTATTTTATAAGGCTATCAAAAGGGTCTCTAAAACTACATATAGCATAAAAAACTAGTTCATCTCATTTATGAGTATAGATAATAAATCCAAAACAATTAGCACATCAGTGTTAGTCATTCATAAATAGGTTTTATATAAATTATTAAAGGGTAATTCAATATTAGAAAATGTTAGCTTCAGTCACTCCATTAAAATTAATAGATAAATGAAAAACTATGACTGTTTTCTAAATCTTTGAAAACTCATTGGATAAATTCAAAATCTATCCCTTGGGAGTAGGGGTGGAAGGTGGAGGAAACCTAGAAAAGTAAATTTCCGTAACTTAATAAAGGCGATCTAGAAGAACCTTCAGCAGCCATCACACTTATTTCCCAAGACATTCAGGAAAGAAACAAGGATGCCTACAATTAGCTAATGAATAAGACATTATTAAAAATCAGGAAAATGCCGAAACCGGTTTGGCTTAGTGGATAGAGCGTCGGCCTGCGGACTGAAAGGTCCCAGGTTCGATTCCAGTCAAGGGCATGTACCTGGGTTGTGGGCACATCCCCAGTGGGAGATGTGCAGGAGGCAGCTAATCGATGTTTCTCTCTCATTGATGTTTCTAACTCTCTATCTCCCTTCCTCTCTGTAAAAAATCAATAAAATATATTTTAAAAAATCAGAAAAATGCATTTTCAGATAAAATGACTAGCTGCCTAGAAAATCCCAGACTTAAATAACAAACTATTTTGACTGAATTCAACAAAGTTGCTAGAGTAAACTAAACAAAAATTAACTGCGCATTATTGGTGAAGAATGTACCTAAGGAAATATAATAGGAATTTTTTTTAAAAAGCAATTCATAGAAGCATTTTTTCTTCAATAAAGGAATAAACTTTAAGTACACAATACCTAAATGAAAAAAAAATCTCACTTTACTGAAGGACACAAAAATTCTGAATAAATGGAGACACATATTCTATTCTGGATAGAAAAACTTCATATTTTTAAAAGTATTAATCCTTCCGGAGTCACCTCCTTAATCGCTTCGCGTGGGCCTTAAAAAGGAAACTTAAGAAAAACTTAACCCCCTAATCACATAAGTATATGTGTTCTAAGATTTAAAATAATATGATTCTTTTTCAGATTAATTCAGGTGCTCTATCAGATTATAGGTCTCACTATCATGTGGAATATGAAATTTGACGTTAATATTACCAATGATAGTCTTTTTCACGTCTTATGGAAAATCCTGATGTCATATCCATAATTGTTACATTTAAAATAGTATGGTGCCCTAACCCTTTCCCTTCCTCTCTGTAAAAAAAATCAATAAAATATATTAAAAAAATAAAATAGTATGGCTTAAAAAAAAAAAGTATTAATCCTTCCCATACATTTTTCTAGAAAATCAATCCAACACTGATCAAAATCCCAAGGGAACTTTTCTGGCCCTTGATGAGTCTTATATTAAACAAACAAAATGGGTGGAAGGCAATTTTTTGAATCAAAATAACAAATGGGCAATTGACCTACCACATATCATAATATAACACTGCATTAATCTCAAGTTTTCAGGAAGAGAGAAATCATGGGAGACTTGTCAGCACCACTTCCGGAGATGTAGAATACGGGAGATGGGGTGGAAGCAGAGACGGAGGAAGAGCTTAGCCGAGGTATAGTAAATATGACGCCCATTAAGCCTCTAAGTGGAGATGGACAGACAGCTGGATGTGTGAATCTGGAGCTTGGGAGAGGTCTGGGCTAGAGACACTCTTGAAATCATGGGATGCCACGGAGCTTTTACTAGGCTTTTAGTTTTCTTCCTGTGAAATTATATAGTTTGGCTTTGCAAGTAAGTTTTAACACACCCATTCCACCCACACTTCAGTTTGGATCAGTTTAGTAAAGGATTAGATAATTTAACCTCTGTTCTTTTATTATTGCTGTACTATACTTTCAATGCTTTTTAATGTCATTTCCTCTTAAAATCATTAGGATGCAAAGCCGCTGGCACTCAAATGTCCTCTCCATTGTTGCAATGGCGTCTTCATCTTCCTTGAACACACCATGAACACTTCCCTGGCCTCTGAGGTCACAAAGGCTATAACTCAAATTGGCTTCGCAGCAATTCTGACCTCTTCTCCACTCAGTAAGAGCTTGAGGTTCA